GGGGAGGATCACTTGAGCCTGGGAGGTGGAGGCTGCAGTGAGCTATGATGGTGCCACTGCACTCCAGACTGGGCAACAGAGCAAGACCCTGTATCTCAAAAAAACATCTGTTGGGCCTGGCACGGTGGCTCACACCTGTAATCCCAGCACTTTGGGAAGCCAAGGCAGGCTGATCACCTGGAGTTGGGAGTTCAAGACCAGCCTGGCCAAGATAGTGAAACCCTGTCTATACTAAAAATACAAAAATTAGCTGGGCGTAGTGGCAGGCACCTGTAATCCCAGCAACTCAGTAGGCTGAGGCAGAGAATCACTTGAACCCGGGAGGTGGAGGTTGCAGTGAACTTAGATGGTGTCACTGCACTCCAACCCGGGTGACAGACAGAGTGAGACTCCATCTCAAAACAAACAAAAAAACACCTGTTGAGTGACCGTGCGGACCCCTCTGCCTCCAGGTCACCACCTGACCAGGGGAGCTAGGGTGGAACAGGATTCCAGCCCGCTAGGGTCGGAGTCTGACTGATCACTGCCTGACTCAGGGGGTGGGCAGGGGATGAGAACTGAAGATTTGTTCCATGATGGAGAGTTTGGGGAAGCACTGGAGTGAGACCGAACCCAGCGTGTCTTTCCGACTCTGCCCCTCCGACTCTGCCCCTCTGCTGCAAGGCTTTCCCGAGGGACAGTGCCTCAGGTGTGTGTGTGTATCTGAGTGTGTTGTGTCTGGGGAGAGGGATGAGATCTCTCAGTATATCAGAGGCTAAGACGTGGCCAGATCCCAGGACTGCTGGCCCCCAGCTCTGTGTGCGTCTGTGCGCATGTGTGGGCATGAGGTGCATGTCCCATGTCTGTTCTGTGCAGGTGCCTCTGGCTGGGGCCCCAGGGGTGCAATATGTGTTCCCCTGTCTATGTGCATGCATGCGTCTGGGACTCTGTGTGACGTGTGTAAGCTTGGCAGAATCCCACATGCCTGTAGCCATGCCTGCTAAAATTTCAGCTCCATGAGGGCATGGATTTGTCTGTCTTGTTCCATGCTCTGTCCCCACACTTAAAACAGGGACTGGTGCACAGTTAAGGGCCCCTAACCGCTGAATGAATGAGCGCATGAAAGTGTGTGTTCGTGCTTGTGTGTGTCCTCGTGCCAATGCATGTGTAGACGTGTGAATGTTGCTGTGCCTAGGGTGCACCTGTGTGTGGATGATGTTGCTCACACTCCACCCTCCTGTCCCTTTTCCAAACTCGGGAGCCTGGGCCAAGTGGGGCAGAGCAGGGGGTGGCCTCCTCTGGGAAACTGGATCCCAGGACGTGCAGAACAGCAGGGAGCAGGGCGGCCCCTTTGTCCCCAGATAATCCCCATCCCACCCTTGCCCCCGCCCTCCCAGCCACCAGGGTTTAGGGTTGAGTTTGGGAGCTGGAGGGGCCTGGGCATCCCCTCTGTGCCCCCTTCCCTATTTCCTGCCTCTGGGGCTTCCGCTTCCCAGTCCCAGACCTCCTGTGTGGAACGTGTGCCCCCCCATCCGGGTCCTCCCACTGGCTCCCTGTCCTGTCCGGTAGCCAGGTCTTTCTCTCAATCTTTGCCAGGGCCCTGCCCGATCCTACCCCCCTCCCCAGGGTGTAAATCCCTCTCTCTTGGGTGGCTCCAGGGCTCAGCCCCAGGTATAAAGACACCTGAGGGGCAGGAGTTCAGGTGTCCTGAAAGACCCAGAGGCTTCGGAGAGGAAGGAGCCGAGGAGAGAACATGAGCTGTCCACTGGGTGAGTGAAGGGCAGGGGCGCCAGGCCCCAGAGACACAGGAGAGGGGGACCCAGACAGCCCCTCTTCTCTGAGACTCAGGTGCCCAGCTGTCTTTGCACCTGCTGGAAATCCTCCCACATCAAGGCTTCGTTCATCATTCGTTTGACAAATATTTCTTTTTTTTTTGAGACGGAGTTTCACTCTTGTTACCCAGGCTGGAGTGCAATGGCACCATCTCGGCTCACTGCAACCTCTGCCTCCTGGGTTCAGGCAGTTCTCCTGCCTCAGCCTCCTGAGTAGCTGGGATTACAGGCACGTGCCACCATGCCCAGCTGAATTTTTGTATTTTTAGTAGAGACGGGGTTTCACCATGTTGACCAGGATGGTCTCGATCTCTTGACCTCGTGATCCACCCGCCTCGGCCTCCCAAAGTGCTGGGATTACAGGCTTGAGCCACCGCGCCCGGCGACAAATATTTCTTGAGTACCTATCATGTGCTAGGTACTGTTCGAAGCATCCCCAGAGATAGCAGTGAACAAACAGACAAAATCCATGGCCTTGTGGAAATTTCGTTTTGCAGACACATAATACATGTACTAATAAGTAAATCATAAAGCTAGTGTGATAGACAGTGGTGCAATGAGCCAACTGTGGCTTTTGTTGGTGGTGGTGGTCTGTTTGTTTTTTGAGACAGGGTCTTGCTCTGTGGCCCAGACTGGAGTGCAGTGGCAGAAACTTTGCTCATTGCAGCCTTGAACTCCAGGGCTCAAGCGGTCCTCCTGCCTCAGCTTCCTGAGTTGCTGAGACTACAGGTGTATGCCATCAGGTCACGCTAATTTTTTTTTTTTTTTTTTTTTTGAGACAGAGTTTTTGCTCTGTCGCCTAGGCCAGTGTGTGGTAGCACAATCTCAGCTCACTGTAACCTCCACCTCCTGGGTTCAAGCGATTATCTTGCCTCAGCCTCCTGAGTAGCTGGGATTACAGGTGCCCGCTACCACACCTGGCTAATTTTTATATTTTTAGTAGAAACAGGCTTCACCATGTTGACCAGGCTGGTCTCGAACTCCTGACCTCAAGTAATCCACCCACCTTGACCTCCCAAAGTGGTGGGATTACAGGCATTAGCCACTGCATCCAGAATTTTTTTTTAAAAAACCTTTGTGTAGGGATGTGATCTCTCTATGTTGTCCAGGCTGGTCTCAAACTCTGGGGCCCAAGCGATCCTCCCAAAATGTTGGGATTACAGGTGTGAACCACTGCAAGCCCCAAGTTTGTCAAATGAAGGAATGAAATGGTCTTCCCTCCCAGGCTTCTCTGAGTTGCTTCTGAACTCTGGGAACTCAGGAATGTGGAAAGGGGAATGAAGGAGGCTGCGGTGGGTTTGCCTCTCTTCTCCATTGCTCCTGGCTGGTGACCTTAGGTCATTCTCCTCCTCTCTGAGCCTCACACTGTTGGCGGGAACATAAATTGGACCAATCTTTCAGAGGACAATTTGGCAGCATCTATTCACATTTAAGATAAGCATGCAGGCATGTGCTCATGCCTGTAATCCCAGCACTTTGGGAGGCCGAGGCAGGAGCATTACTTGAGGCCAAGAGATGGAGACCAGCGTGGGCAACATAGTGAGACCTGGTCTCTACATAAAATTTTAAAAATTGGCCAGGCGCAGCGGCTCACATCCGTAATCCCAGCACTTTGGGAGACTGAGGCAGACGGATCACCTGTGGTCAGGAGTTCAAGACCAGCCTGGCCAAAATGGTGAAACCCCGTCTCTACTAATATAGAAAAATCAGCCGGGCATGAAAGCGGGTGCCTGTAGTCCCAGCTACTTGAGCGGCCGAGATGGGAGAATCACTTGAACTGGGAAGATGGTGACTGCAGTGAGCCAAGATCACACCCACTGCACTCCATCCAGCCTGGGTGGCTGAGTGAGACTCTGTCTCAAAAAAAAAAAAGAAAATTAACTGAGTGTGGTGGCATGGCCTGTAGCCCCAGCTACTTGGGAGGCTGAGGTGGGAGGATCCCCTGCCTCCAGGAATTTGAGGCTGCAGTGAGTTATGATCACACCCCCATATTCCAGCCCAGGTGACAGAGTAAAACCCCATCTCTATTTTTTTCTTTTTTTTTTTTTTTGAGATAGAGTTTCGCTCTTGTTGCCAAGGCTGGAGTGCAGTGGTACGATCTCAGCTCACTGCAACCTCTGCCTCCTGGGTTCAAGCGATTCTCCTGCCTCAGCCTCTCAAGTAGCTGGGATTACAGGTGTCTGCCACTGCAGCCTGCTAATTTTTTATTTTTAATAGAGACAGGTTTTCTCCATGTTGGTCAGGCTGGTCTGGAACTCCTGAACTCAGGTGATCCGCTTCCCTTGGCCTCCCAAAGTGCTAGCTAGGATTACCGGCATGAGCCACCATGCCTGGCCAACTCCCCATCTCTAAAAGAAGGAAAAAAGTCACACTTTCGCTGTCTGCCTTTAAAGGATAGAATTAGCAGGATTTACTGTGGGACTGGATGTGTAGAGTAAGAAAAAAATGGAGCATCAAATTGCACACCATGGCTTTGGCCTGAGCAACTAGAAGAATGGAAGTGCTTTTACCTGAGACAGGGGAGCTTGAGAGAGGAGGGACTTGCGGCAAATATTCCAGAATTAAAGCCTGGATATTTTGAGTTTGAGATGCTTACTAATATTCAAGTGAAAATGTCCAGTAGCTGACCTGGCGCGGTGGCTCAAGCCTGTAATCCCAGCACTTTGGGAGGCCGAGGCGGGTGGATCACGAGGTCAAGAGATCGAGACCATCCTGATCAACATGGTGAAACCCCGTCTCTACTAAAAATACAAAAAATTAGCTGGGCATGGTAGTGCATGCCTGTAATCCCAGCTACTCAGGAGGCTGAGGCAGGAGAATTGCCTGAACCCA